TAGACCATTTTAATGAGAATTCAGAACAATGATCTTAGGGAATACCAAAATTTCATCACTACTCCCCTGGGACTTCTGCTTCATTCTTTTTCACTGGAGTTTTTAAAAAATCCTTTTTGGGTGAATCTACACCATTCAGGGTTCCTTTCTGCATGCAACTCCAACCTTCCCGGCTTCTGAAAGAGAGGGACAGCAAAGACCATGGGCCTCACCTGCTCTTTACTCACACATAAAGACTGAACAGTTCCTGAGCTGTTACACTACTACCTGGCATAATGTGAAATTGCTGTTTACCGGGGTCAAATATGACCAAAGAACGGCAATTACATGTTTCCTGTTAATATCAGAAAGAGTCCAGCAACATTGATCGGAGCCCTTAGCTAAGAAGAATCAACCCAGAAAAGTTTGTCAGCCTCTCTGTGAAAGATGTATATATTTTTTTCTTCTTTGAGGTGGAGTTTTGCTTCTGTTACCCAGGCTGGAGTGCAGTGGTGCCAATCTTGGCTCGCTGCAACCTCCGCCTTCTGGGTTCAAGCGGTTCTCCTGCCCCAGACTCCCAAGTAGCTGGGATTACGGGCATGCATCACCACACCTGGCTAATTTTGTATTTTTAGTAGAAACTAAAAATGGGTTTCTCCATGTTGGTCAGGCTGGTCTCGAACTCCTAACTTTTGGTGATCTGCCTGCCTTGGCCTACCAAAGTGCTGGAACTACAGAAATGAGTTATCATGCCCGACCAGAAGATGTATTTTTTTAAGACCCTGAGAATCTTAACGTACACAAATTCAAAAGCTATGAGAAGAAACTGACATTGTTAGAAGTGGCTTAAATGAGATCTGTTTTGTTTTCTGTGGACGACTGACTGTGCACACATCTGTACGCGTGTGCTCTTAATTCAAGCCCACCAAAATGGTAGTCCTGAAGTTAGTGATAACCTCTCCCTGAATCCGAGGGAGGAAAAACATGGAAAAGTTGCCCTCCGCCATCACGAAGCTGTCAGTGCTCTAGAGCTGTGATGATATTTATTACTGTGTCAGCGAAGTTTTGAGTGTGAGTAGCTTTGGCGTACACCTCATTTCTCCTTTTTAAATCTACTTAATATGAACTCTGAGCCCCCCTTCTACAAGGCTGAGGGGAAATGGAGACCCTTTTTTCACTGGGCATCCTTCTGTCCCCCTCTCCAGTATTGTGCAGAGAAGGGCCTGGAACCTACTGTAATGCCTAGGCTTTGGGTAACACACACTGGTTATTGTTCCTTTGGTTGCCCTGGCACTGCCAAAACTCTGTCATACCCACCCTGTGACCCCTCCAGGCAAAAAGATCTGCTGCTCTGTGCCAGGTGTGAGTTATCAATCTTTATCATTGTGGGGAGCCCCATTCTTGGGGTGGTGATGGTGCAGGGCATGGGTCCCGTTTGATCGTGCGCCCTGTGGTCGTCATTTTCCTCCCAACTTAGGTGAATCCACACTGCTGCCCCATCTACAGGGGCCTGTAATGTCAACATCCCCACAGGCAATAGGCAGAAAATAGGCCACTCTTGGGAAGAAAACTGGGAGACCAAATCCAAGTCACTGCATATCTGTGACTGTATTAACTTGCCATAGGAACTTATTAAGGCTAGCCAACGTCCTGCCAAGGAAGCACTGGGTCTTAGTAGTCAGTAGCTACATGTGGCAAATCACATTAAATTCATTAAAATGAAATAAAATTAAAAATTCAGTTTCTCAGTCAACTGGTCACATTTCAAGCGCTCAGTTGCGGCACACAACCGTTGTATGGGACAAGGTAGATAGGGAGCATCTTCGTCATCACAGGACGTTCTGTCGTGTGGCGCTGGTCTGTAGCAAGCCTCACGTGTCTCCAGTAGCAGTTGAGGGTGGCCCCGCTATTCTTGCTTATTTTCCTACTTGGCTTGGCCTTAGTGATTTAGAAAGTAGAATGACGTAAGTAGAAAGGCAGGGGGAAGTGGTGACTATAGTGAGTCATGATGTTTCTCAAGGGACCAGTTCTATGGGTAGGGTTGGTGGAGACTTGCCCATCTTTCGTGTGGTCCTAAGTGTCGTTGAGACACTTGGACAATCCACGGGGTCTAAGAATCCCTGTTTCTTTAAGTTAGTTTTGGGTTTTATCTCATGGAATAGAATCTTGGACTTTCTGTGAGCACATGAGAATATTTTTTGTGAGGGCTTCATTTCCTTTGGAGGAAGCGCCAAGAAGGGGAGTGTGGAAGAGGCACGGCTGGTTTGGTTCTGTTAACTGTGATGTGTGATATGCACATTTGGTGGCAGGCAGACAGCTGGCCAGGACAAGGCTGCCCTGGGGAAGCATTGAGCCTGTGAGCAAATTGAAGACAGATGAAAATGGAGACAGTGGAAAATCACCCATGTTTCATGCCATCTGTATGTACCAGTACTGGCGAGACAGCAAAGAGCCACACTAGCTCTCAGTAAATAGTTCATTATATATCAGATGTTGTATAGACAGGTTATGAAAATGGACCGAGACTCTGCCCCTGCCTGCAGCCAGCTCTCCGTCTGAGAGCCCTCTCAGTATAGGCTTACTGGAATTCTCCTTATTTCCCTTGGCCTACTCACTCCATAAAGATATTTCCTACTTCTCTATTAATTTCAACCCTAAGTAACGTTCTGCATCTGGCAAAATGGAAACAAAGAGAAAATTGTTTGGGAGTTGGGAATTTGGAGACCATGCGTGCTGGGTTTGGCTCTGGAAAGGTAGGAAGCCCGTGGAACTGAGCTGTTGGTCCTTGAATGAAAGGGAAGGCGCTGCTATTTTTGTCCTGTTCTGCGTGTGGTCAGTCCCCTCCCTCCCTACCCACCAAAGGTATTTTTGCCTTATTGCTTTGTTCACGTTTTTGCTTTGTAGGCACTTCCTTATGCCAGTGCCCCGATGCATTCGTCATCTCCATCCTTAATTGCTTTAAGAAGCCTTTTGAGAATTGCCATGGGTTGCCTGCATAGCAGGTGCAGCAGTAGGGCAGACAGTCTTGTGGGCATGAGCAGAGTTGATTGTTGGCTTTCTTCTGCATGACTTTGGTGTCAGTTCTGAAAGGGACTCCAGAAATGTTTTGTTTTGAGTGTGGCACTACCATGGCCTCCCAGGAAGCCCGTGGTGAAAATGCAGCACTTACTGGCCACAGAAGGTCTGGGCATTTGTATTAATCAGACTCCACATTTTAGGTAGGATAAGGGCTCATCCAGGTAATGCCCAGAGACTAGGATGGTGGCTCAGAAGAATCAGAGCATCCCTGTTTTTTTTCTATATTTGGGGATAGCTTTTTCCCCTTCTCTTCTCGCCACTTGCTTGGCTCCCTCTTCTCTTCTTATCTCATGACTTTGTCTTTGGCTGGGAGCAGTTTGCCTCTGCCTCGTATTTGTTCTTGCATAGGTTGTAAGACCTGGCCTCTGAATATGGTCCCTCCATCCAGGCCACACCCCAAGTATGCTGTGGGTCTGGGGTGACTTTGACTAACAGGTACTGGGTGTCAGAGAGAGAGAATGTGAACCTGGTCATTCCCAAACATGGCTGTAGTTTAGAATCACCTGGGGAGTGTTTAAAACTCCTGATGTCGGCTCACCCCATGCCAACTATCTGGGGGTGGGAGCCAGATAACAGTTTGTCAGAGATCCCCAGGTAATTCTGATATGTAGCAAAATTTAAAAATTACTGTAGGGGAAGAGTGTGGTCCTTTGAGATGTGAGCAGTTAACACCTGAGCAGAATCACAGTGAGTTCATCTTGCATCTCCATGGCAATGTGATGTACTAGAAATGACATCAGATGAACTCCTCTCCAGCCAACTATCCTGGTGACCTTGACAATCTGCCAAGGGCTTCAGTTTCCTTCTCTGTAAATTGGATCAAAATAGTGGTACCTTTCTCACAGGGTCATCTTAAAGAACCAAAGAAATGTGTGAGTCTTTGGAAATAGTAAAGTGCTAAATAAATGCTTGTTGGCCAGGCACAGTAGCTCACACCTGTCATCTCAGCACTTTAGGAGGCCAAGATGGGAGGATGGCCGGAGCCCAAGAGTTTGAGGCTACAGTGAGCCATGATCACACCAGTGTACTCCCTAATAACCAACAGAGCAAGACTTTGTCCCTGAATGAATGAATGAATGAATGCTTGTTATTACTAGCGATTATTCTTTTATTAAAAGATATTCATTTTCTACGTAGTCTAGCAAGGTAGTAGAGGTAACTACTGTGGCATTAATTTTTCAATCACCAACAATAAACCCAGTAGCTGTTTAGGATAAGAATTTATTTCTCCTAAGAAAGGGGAGTGGCAAAGAGAGGTGATCTCGTGCAGCATTAGAAAGAGCTCAGGCTGGGCACGGTGGCTCACGCCTGTAATCCCAGCACTTCAGGAGGCCAAGGTGGGTGGATCACCTGAGGTCAAGAGTTCGAGACCAGCCTGGCCAACATGGTGAAATCCTGTCTCTACTAAAAATACAAAAAATTAGCCGGGCATGGTGGCATGTGCCTATATCCCAGCTACTCGGGAGGCTGAGGCAGAAGAATCACTTGAACCTGGGAGGTGTAGGTTGCAGTGAGCCAAGATTGTGCCATTACACTCCAGCCTGGGCAACAAGAGTGAAATTCTGTCTCAAAAAAGAAAAAGAACCCAGCAGCTAGATCCCAGCAAACTGTGATCCCACAATGCTCAGGGAATGCTCCCTGGCCTCGTATTCATTGGCCATCTCTGGGAACATAGTGGGCCTCGAGGAAGAGGGAGGGATGTCTGTAAACCATCAACTTCATCTTCAGGCTTTCTGTTCAGTTGGATTTCATTTATGTCAAAGTGGTTGAAACAAGGCATCACTGGCAAGCCCCCAAGGAGGGACAAAGGGCTGTCCCACCTACCAGGGCTTACCTGGTCATTATCATCGGTGTGACCACGTTGTCTCACGCAGTAAGCATCCTCATGGCTCCTTGGGGTGCACACAAAAGCATTTTTTTTTTCCTCTGGCTTGTCCTCCCAGGGACTTGAAGTTGGATGGAGGAAGACAATCAGCTGGCGCAGTGAGTTTGAAAGAGATCATTGGTCTGGAAGGTGTGGAGCTGGGTGCTGACGGGAAGGTAAGGCTGCCAGGCCACAAGTCACCGAGTTGTGCTGAAGGCGCAAGGGTCAGGAAGCAGAGGAGGGGGACAGCCCACAAGCCTCTCTCGAGGTGGAAGACTCAAGATCTGGGGCAGATTCCCAGGCATGTGATGCCAGCCTGCCCGGCTCCCCTAGTGTGCAGCCAGTGATTGAGCAGCAGCATGGTGGGAGTTCCCACAGCACGTGGATTTCTTTGCCAGTGCTGTTTACAGCTGAATGTGCTGTTATGAGTACCTCACACACATAGGCAAGTCCATAGGGATGGAATGACGAGTGGATTGAACATCAGTTAACTGGTGATGTCAGCAAGCAATATTCAGGCTACTAGAAAGTGTCATAGCTTCCCATGATCCCAGGAAACTAAGAGTCCCTCAGTCTTGCACTGTGACCACGGAGCAGCATGGCGGTCACATTCTTCTTCCATCAACATGCAACGAGCCTTGGGGTCGAAGTCTCAAGAGTGACAGGTTAAAAGATGACCCTGCCCTGCCCTTTGTTCAGAGTCTAGACAGTCCTCATCAACCCTTCCAAAATCCATTTATGGCAATGACGCAAGTGTTTCTTGGGGAATCTGTCCCAGGGTAGTTTGCAGATGAGGTTGCTGGGAGCTCAAGGTGTAGATAGGGTGCATGCGAGGTGCTTGCCTGGGCAGGTGAAAAGCAATGCACTTGTTCTGTTCACCCCTAACGAGGGAGTGTTCCCATAGGAGCCAGGGAGGATGGAATAGAGTGGAGGGTCATATGCAGTGTCTGCCAGAGCAGCATGGTGGGAGGCCACGGCCCTCACTAGGGACTCTTGGGGCCTGAAGTGTTCTGGGATTCCGCACTTAATAGATTATAAAAAGCAATGCAGCGTGTGCCTCATGGATAACACAACACCCCAGCAGGTTTTGAGATAGTACCTTATTGTCAATTACATTCATATTTCTGCCATGTAATAGGAATCATCAGATCAAGTGGAATAAATTAAAACTACACATAGCCTTAGGTCAGTTCAGGTTGGGTGTTGGCACCAATGCGTGCCAAAACGAATTTCATTTTTCAGATCTCATTGGATTTCAGAATTGCAAATAGGAGAAAGTGGGCCTGAACTTGGGTGACAACTGTAACTTGATCAGAATGCAGAGCCAGCAATACCTGGGAATAATCACTGGCCTGTTTTTGTCTTCACCTTTTAGACTGTTTCCTATACCCAATTTCTGTTACCCACAAATGCCTTTGGAGCCCGGAGAAATACCATAGACTCCACCTCCTCTTTCTCCCAGTTCCGTAACCTGAGCCACCGCAGCCTCTCCATAGGCCGGGCAAGCGGCACCCAGGGGAGCCTCGACACAGGTAACCTTGGTCTGGTTGGGTCTGGTAGCTCAGGGTGGGAGGAGCCTCTGTTTATATGGGGATCGGGTCTCCGCATAGTGCAGACTGGAGGACAGGCCCACAGGTGATATGACTTTTAGGAAAGCCTGATCTCAGGCCTTACAGGCCCACAATCAAGCCACAGGTAATCCCTCTCTAATCAGATGCTCCAGTCACTGACTGCCTGAGCTTCCACCTGGAGAAATCTCAAGGCCATGCAAAGATGACTGCGTTTCCCAGCTTCCCTGACCACTCAGCTTCTCTCAATCATGACCTTGTTCTGTCCTATATTTTCATGGTGCTCAGTTCGGAATTAAAAAAAAAAAAATCTGGGCTCTGAAATGCAGGTTCGGGTGTGAGAGTTTCCTTTGTGCCTGTCCTAGTGGGTGAACCGAGTTGGCAGCTGAAGGAAGACTTGCATGCTGCCAGCTTTGCTGATCAAACCTTTGTAAGAACTGACACATGGAGAAAACGCTTTAGGAAGCAGGGCTATTTCTACTCTCAGGGAAATTCCAAATGAATGTGCAGTTCCCTCCGTCTGCCCAAGTGCTGAGTTCTGAAGCCCTGCCCTAGCGTTCCGGCCACCTCTGATCGCTCACAGCTGTGCCTTGGTGGCCGCTTTGATTTGTATTCATACAGACACAATAGCCTGCCTGGAAGTATTCGCACCAAATCGTGCTGCACAGGCGTCTCTGAATATCATCTGCAAGTCTAAAAAATGAAGCTCTTCGGGGCCACACTCTGAGAGTGCCCTCTGCATCTTGCATGTTGTGTGAAGCTTTTGCTCCTCTAGCTCAGGGAGATTAATACATAATTTTCTAAAATGATAAGAAATGTCAGGATGTTGAAATTTGGTGAACCCTTTTGAAAGAATTTACTTGATTGGCGTGAGGAGACGTCTAATAAAAGTCAGTGAGTGCCGTGGCGCTGAGCTAAGTGCCCTAAAGCCAGCCTTGCTTCAGACCAGCTTTACGTGGCATTGTCTCTGCTGGGGAGGGTCCGGAGCCACTAATCATCATTTTGCATTTTGCATGTGATATTCAGGTAGCGACCTGGGAGACTTTTTGGACTATGACCCAAATCTCTTGGATGACCCCCAGTGGCCTTGTGGCAAGCACAAACGCGTTCTGATCTTCCCTTCCTACATGGTGAGTAACGTGGGATGGGGGCTGCATTTGCCGTACCCCCTCAGCTGCCCGGCATGGCTTGGAGGTGGCTGGGGGCTTGTTCAAAGACTACTCTGCCTGGGGGGCCTTCCTGAGGAGCTCCCCAGTGTGGGTGCCTACGGAAGGACCAGTATTGCCTCTTGTCCAGAATCCTGCTGGCCACCTGGCCTGCAAACACCGCTTTCAGGGTGCTTGTGAAGGTTGGGCTGCCAGTATCCACAAAGTCACCAGCCCAGATTGGGGGACCCTCTCCCCCGAAGGGGGATGTCCGAGCTTTTACTTCCACAGACCCCAGTGGGGAGAACCAGGCCCATCCCTGGAGTGCTGAGTTCAAGTTCAGCTCTGCTTGGAGTTCCTCAGTGGCTGCCGGCCTGCATGTGCACACTGAGCAAACATTTGGCCCCAGGCTGGGGATGACAGAATTCTCTCCTGGGAAAGTGAAAGTAGGACACTGTGGGTGTTACATGCAAAACCTTTCTCTGCTGTTTCTATTTCATGGACTCTTCCTGTTTTTCCCTGTGTGTAATTTTGGTTTCTGCTCTCGGCTGACCACCATTTCCCACCACCAAGGGCTGCTGTCACCTCTGCAGGCACCAGAGGGGCCTGGCAGGGCCCTGGGTGCTTTCTCTGGGCTGACTCGCCCTGACTCTTGTGGCAAGCAGAGCCCCGGCTGCTGTGGGAGGAGGGGGAGCTGCACTTCCAGAACAGTCGATTGGCCAGGCCTGCCATACACAGCATCGGGTGGGAGACATCCACCCAGAATGCACCGCCTCCCAGCCTTTTGCATGTCCCGGCCCACAAGCTGGGCATGTGGGGCCAGCACAGCCGAGCGCTTCCTCCCCTGGTTCCCTCCCTCCTGTGCTCCCAGCCTGAGCTGTTCTCAGGAGTGAACCAGGGGGTTTTTCTCCTCTAGGCTCTTGTATCTGCAGTAGCCAGCGTAGAAACCAATCCCTTGTACTTAAAGGGCCCCCAGATCTTCATTCAGAGCTTAGGGTTCTTCACTGTTTATCAGAGAAACACCAGGCAGAACTCGGGCCCTTGCCAGTGACTTTCAGCATCTATATTCGTGTATGTCGGCGCATAGTTCAGTGGTCATTCTCATACACCACATGGCGTCGGGATGCATTTAGTCATCGGAGAATGCATTCAAGTCAAAGGCATGTAGTTCAAAATTGCCCCAACTCCTAACACAGAAATCAAAACTAGAGACATGTGTAGTTACTTTTCTTCCACTCTATGACCCGTTTTTTTAAAAAACCAGGGCGTATTCATCTTTGGCAGAGGCTAGCGTGTAATAAGTGTTCAATAAATGACCAGAATGATTGCCCTGATGTCAAAGAGAGAGGAACTTGTGTAAGAATAAGGATGCTTTCTGTGGTTCACTGCTTTATTTATTAAAATTCACTTTCTTTATTAAGTAACATGGGCAGGAAACTGGATCAGGGAGTCTGAATGAAGCTCTCCTAGTTGATAGACGGGCAATGGGGGTATCGAGGCTATAACTCCTGGCTTGGGGCTCTTTTCACGTTGCCCAGCCCAGCAGTCAGCCCCAGAACTGGTGACATGTGGGTTGGACATGAAGACCATTCTTTGGGCCAGCAGTGTAGCAGATTTCTAGGTAACCAAGTGAATAGGAAGGTGCATTATTTCTGATGGATGCTGGCGGGGAGCTCTCCTACAGACACGTTGTGCTTGATAATGCCGACTTCTCCCATTATAGGCCTGGTGTTGGGCTGGTGCCAGATCTGATCTTTTTTTCTTTAAATGATTTCACTATGAGCCTTGAGGTTCCAGGCCACAGTATGTGTGTATGTGCATGTGCACGTACACACATACAACTTTTCCTCCTCAGACTGTGCTAGACTTGCCAAGTCAGCATGTATGTCCTGCCCTCCTCATTTGATGTCTCCAATTGGATCGTTTTTCATTTCGCCGCATTGGCTCTGCAGTCAGTGCTCCCGGGAATAGTCTGAGCTTAGGAGAATGGAATTGTGCAAGGACGGTGTTTTCCCGGTCGGCTCCCAGAGACCTCTGTTTCCTATTCTAGCCACAGATATTGGCACTTTGATAAAATGTGGGAAATCCACGTTTCAGAGTTCTCGTCTAAGTTCTTGTCAGTGTGTGGTGTATTACAAAGGGCCTCAACCCAGCTCCCGGGAGACTTTCTTCCTAGAAGCCAACATGGGTTACAGGCCATTTCTCATGCACTTGCATTGAACTTGTAGGAGTCAGAGTGGACCAGTTGGGGGGGGCTGGGGTGTTTGCTTTATTTTTGTGTGTTGGGGAACAGGTATAGAATTCGCCTGTCAACAAATATTGATTGAGGCCTTATTATGAGCCAGGCTTCCTTACCCAGTGGAGAACTAACCAGCCATAAACCCTGTTCTCCTTCACCTTGGAGAGAGTGGGGAAATCAGAGAGTAAACAGTAGGCAGGGAGACAGATCACTATAGTCATGAGGAAGGAATCATCTTGGAAGAGCAGCAGGAGGCCAGGTGCGGTGGCTAACGCATATAATGCCAGCACTTTAGGAGGCCAAATCAACTGAGGTCAGGAGTTCAAGACCAGCCTGGCCAACATGGTGAAACCTCATCTCTACTGAAAATACAAAATTTAGCTGGGTGTGGTGGTGTGCACCTGTAGTCCCAGCTACTGGGGAGGCTGAAGTGGGACAATCATTTGAACCCAGGAGGTGGAGGCTGCAGTGAGCTGAGATTGAGCCACTGCACTCCAGCCTAGGCACCAAAGTGAGACCCTGTCTCAAAAAAAAAAAAAAAAAAAAAAAAAGACAGGAAATGATGGAGGGGTTGGAGGTGGGCCCTAGGGGATAGGCCTCAAGGAAGACTTCCCCGAGGAGTGGCAATAAAGCAAGCACTGAGGGGTGAGGAGGTGGCCCCACTAGGCTTTGCTAGGGATAGCCCAGTGGAAAGACCCCAAAATATGAAGGGGGTTGGTTTTGCATAAAATGACTATTTCTAAGTGTAAAGTCATTGCCCTTCCCTCTACACACACACAGGCAGCAGGCAGAGCCCACCAATGATGATGCTGACAAACCCTCCCTGCCCTGTGACTCGGCCCCAGGCACAGGGAGCTGGCGCTGAAATAGGCCCTGGCTCCAAAGCCCGTGGCTCCTTTGAGCCAGGTTGTAAAATACCCTCTTTGAGGGCCTGGGCACATTTGGCCACTAGGCTGGTGTGGGGATCTCTGCCCAGACAGATGGCAGATTCCCTCCTGGGTGGCAGGGCACCCCCCTGCCCCCACAGTGGATGTCAGGCCTAGGAAGCCTGGCACCACCCACCCACCTGTGAGGTTTCTCCAGAGCTTCCTACAACACCTCTGCTCGGTGATTGAGGAAGAAGCAGGCTTGCGGGTCACAGGCCAGTTGTCTATGTGGAGCTGCTCACCTCCCTTAATATCAGCCCCCAAGGCCCTGGAGTCCTGCTGCCTGTCCCATCTTCCTCGGGCCCCCAGGGCAGTCCAGTGCAGCCAGCCCAGCGGAGGCGCCCACCTGAAATCCTAGGACTGTCCTCCAGTGTTTTGGGATGTCCTGTTCCTGTGGAAATCAGGCTCTGAGATGCTCACGTAGCCTCTGCTGAATCAAGCAGCTCTCAAATTGATGAGCTAATCCTTTCAGCCATCAAATCCTGCTGCAGCCGCTAAAAGGAGCAATTTACAGACAATCAGATGCACTTGTTTCTTTGAAGTGCATTTCTATGAATTTTTGTAACCACCCCTCTCTCTGATCCAGATATAGAGCATAGAGCATTTCTGTCCCTACAGAAAGTTCTCCTCCCCATCCCACTCTTCCCATCTCCTTCCTGCCAAGGCAATCGCTGTTCTCAGTTGTCACCATAGATTAGTTTTACCTATTCTGAAACTTCATGTAAATAGGATTACGGCATATACTTTTTCGGGGTCCATCTTCTTTCCTACAGCTTAACGTGAGATTTCCCCATGTTATGTGTATCAGTATATATATATATATATATTTTAATTGCTGAGTGGGCCAGGTGCGGTGGCTCATGCTTGTAATTCCAACACTTTGGGAGGCCGAGGTGGGTGGATCATTTCAGGCCAGGAGTTTGAGACCAGCCTGGCTAACATGGTGAAACCCCATCTCTACTGAAAATACAAAAATTAGCTGAGCATGGTGGCAGGCGCCTGTAATCCCAGCTGAGGCGGGATAATCATTTGAACCAGGAGGTAGAGGTTGTAGTGAGCTGAGATCGCACTATTCACCCCAGCCTAGGTGACAAGCAAAACTCTGTCTCAAAAACAAACCAACAAACAAAAATTGCTGAGCGGTAGGTATAAGATGTAGCACAGTTTGTTTCTCCCTTCTCCTGTTGATAGACGTTTGTTCACGCAGCTGCCATCAGTGTTCTTGTGCGCGTCTTCCTGTGGAAATACTTTTTCATTTCTCTTTGGGTAAATACCTAGGAGCAGGATTTCTGAGTCCTAGTGTGGGTGATATTAACCAGCCATGATGTAGCTGAATGTTTATCCTTGTGCGTATGTCCTAAGTGTAATATAAAAAGGCCCCTCGTCACCACAGTCAGGACATGTCTTAGAGTGCAAAGCTTCCAGAGGTGAAGCCTGTCAACAGAGTGCAAATGACACCCTTTTCAAATTAGCCTTGTACCCATATCTGTATTTTTAAACTTTGATCCATGCAAGTCATTCTCACTATTATCTGCTGTGTAAGGGCATGGGTGAGATTTTGAACTTAAGAAAAACAGTTCCGGGCCAGGTGTTGTGGCTCATGCCTGTAATCCCAGCACTTTGGGAGGCCGAGGCGGGTGGATCACCTGAGGTCGGGAGTTCAAGACCAGCCTGGCCAACATGGTGAAACTCCATCTTTACTAAAAATACAAAAAAATTAGCCAGACATGGTGGTGGGTGCCTGTAATCCCGGCTACTCAGGAGGTTGAGGCAGGAGAATTGCCTGAACCGGGAGGCAGAAATTGTAGTAAACTGAGATC